TTGCTTTATACACGTTCAAGGAACAATACGGGGCGGTGGGGTAGCCTAGTGGTTAAAGCGTTGGCTCGTCACGCCGAAGACCCCGGTTCGATTCCCCACATGGGCACAATATGTTAAGCCCATTTCTGGTGTCCCCCGCCGTGATATTGCTGGAATATTGCTAAAAGCGGCGTAAAACTAAACTCAGTCAGTCAAGGAACAATACGTTTTCTATGTACATATAAGTAGAAAATATACATGGACAGGTTTTCATTTTCTAGGATTTGAACCATTCAGCAGTAGTGAAAACTTAAGCCTATTTGGATGGACATAATATTTTTCTCTTATATATTTGCTTCGAAGAGTACTGTAGTTAGGGCATACAAGAAGAAAATGATACTCGTCTTCAATTGCATTTGTATTACATAATTTACAAGTTAGATGTTCTTTATCCATATTTACATATCTACCTGTCTCGATTAGAAGTTCATGAGATGAGCATTGGAATCGTGTTAAACTTACTCTATACTTTTTTACATTAAAACATGATAGATAGAATTCGGTATGGATATTGTTTTAGGGAAGTGTCACATTTGCTTGAAATAGATAATTTTTCTTGCCAGTTTTGAAAACACATATCTTTGAGTCTCTGAGTAAATGATTTGATGAATTCCGGATATATTCCATTTTCTTGGTTATGCCAAATATCTCCAAATCCAGTAGAAAATAAAAAATATTGTATCTCAGTCACCTAGTTTTTGTGTCCATTTCTATCATATAAAACGGTATCAGGTCGTCAAACATACCAAACTGAATTGGAGCACAATTGTAGGGTTTACTCCCAAAAGGTAGACGTCCCAAAAGTCATACATCCCAGTTGTCAGACAAATCAATCATGCGTGACTGTGATTACAACCTAGTCTTACCTACTGATATAATGAACCTGTCCCATACACTAACGAGAGGGTTTTCACATTTTTACTGAAATACTTTGATCAGAATACTAATGTTGACTAATTGTTGTTTTTAGAAGAGGTGGACCCTTAGCGAGAAATAAGAATTGGTTTTATAAAGGTGAACGTGTTTTAACAGTTGTTTCATATAGATATCTAGGTATTCCTTTTTCATCTTCTTGCAAATTCAATAAATGTGCATTAGATTTATCATCTCGGGGCAAAAGGGCACATCTAGAAGTACTACATCACTTATATAAATTAGATAATGTTGCTATTCTGTATATTTCAAATTATTTGATACCAAATTCAACCAATCCTTTTGTATGGTGCCGAAGTATGGGGCATTAATAAATTATATAAGATTGAAAATGTACATTTAACTGCATGTAAGAAGTTCTTAAATGTTGGTCCCCAAGCACCAAATGTAATTGTTTATGGTGAATGTGGACGTTACCCAATGTATATAAAGGCACAACGGCGTTTAATAAAATACTGGCTTACGCTTGTAAATATGCATCAACAAAGAATTCCAATAAAGCTTATTATATGCTAATGTACGATAATAGTGGTTATGATAACTATGTTTCATCTGTGCGTAATTTATTGTTTTCATATGGATTTGGTTATGTTTGGTTATTTCAATGTGTTGGCAATGAAACGTTTAAACAAGTTGCAGTTGACATGTATATACAGTCATGGAATAGTACAATTGAAGAAAGTTCAAGGTATAAACTGTACAGACAATTTAAAAGCCTTTTGGAGCCAGAAAAATATTTAACTATGTCAACAAATAAGAAACACAGAAATATTCTTACTAGGATCAGAGATTTTGCATGCTTGTTTTACGATGTTCACTTTGATCAAAACAGGATTATAGATTTTGCATGCTTGTTTTACGATGTTCACTTTGATCAAAACAGGATTATAGATTTTGCATGCTTGTTTTACGATGTTCACTTTGATCAAAACAGGATTATAGATTTTGCATGATTGTTTTTACGATGTTCACTTTGATCAAAACAGGATTATAGATTTTGCATGCTTGTGTTTACGATGTTCACTTTGATCAAAACAGGATTATAGATTTTGCATGCTTGTGTTTACGATGTTCACTTTGATCAAAACAGGATGATAGATTTTGCATGCTTGTTTTTACGATGTTCACTTTGATCAAAACAGGAATTATAGATTTTGTATGCTTGTGTTTACGATGTTCACTTTTATCAAAACAGGATGATAGATTTTGCATGCTTGTGTTTACGATGTTCACTTTGATCAAAACAGGATGATAGATTTTGCATGCTTGTGTTTACGATGTTCACTTTTATCAAAACAGGATTATAGATTTTGCATGATTGTGTTTACGATGTTCACTTTGATCAAAACAGGATTATAGATTTTGCATGCTTGTGTTTACGATGTTCACTTTGATCAAAACAGGATTATAGATTTTGCATGCTTGTGTTTACGATGTTCACTTTGATCAAAACAGGATTATAGATTTTGCATGCTTGTGTTTACGATGTTCACTTTGATCAAAACAGGATGATAGATTTTGCATGCTTGTTTTTACGATGTTCACTTTGATCAAAACAGGATTATAGATTTTGCATGCTTGTGGTTACGATGTTCACTTTGATCAAAACAGGATTATAGATTTTGCATGTTTGTGTTTACGATGTTCACTTTGATCAAAACAGGATGATAGATTTTGCATGCTTGTGTTTACGATGTTCACTTTGATCAAAACAGGATTATAGATTTTGCATGCTTGGGTTTACGATGTTCACTTTGATCAAAACAGGATTATAGATTTTGTATGCTTGTGTTTACGATGTTCACTTTGATCAAAACAGGATTATAGATTTTGCATGCTTGTGTTTACGATGTTCACTTTGATCAAAACAGGATGATAGATTTTGCATGCTTGTGTTTACGATGTTCACTTTTATCAAAACAGGATTATAGATTTTGCATGCTTGTGTTTACGATGTTCACTTTTATCAAAACAGGATTATAGATTTTGTATGCTTGTGTTTACGATGTTCACTTTGATCAAAACAGGATTATAGAGTTTGCATGCTTGTGTTTACGATGTTCACTTTGATCAAAACAGGATGATAGATTTTGCATGCTTGTTTTTACCATGTTCACTTTTATCAAAACAGGATTATAGATTTTGCATGCTTGTGTTTACGATGTTCACTTTGATCAAAACAGGATTATAGATTTTGCATGCTTGTGTTTACGATGTTCACTTTGATCAAAACAGGATTATAGATTTTGCATGCTTGTGTTTACGATGTTCACTTTGATCAAAACAGGATGATAGATTTTGCATGCTTGTGTTTACGATGTTCGCTTTGATCAAAACAGGATTATAGATTTTGCATGCTTGTGGTTACGATGTTCACTTTGATCAAAACAGGATTATAGATTTTGCATGTTTGTGTTTACGATGTTCACTTTGACCAAAACAGGATGATAGATTTTGCATGCTTGTGTTTACGATGTTCACTTTGATCAAAACAGGATTATAGATTTTGTATGCTTGTGTTTACGATGTTCACTTTGATCAAAACAGGATTATAGATTTTGCATGCTTGTGTTTACGATGTTCACTTTGATCAAAACAGGATGATAGATTTTGCATGCTTGTGTTTACGATGTTCACTTTGATCAAAACAGGATTATAGATTTTGTTATGCTTTTCATTTAACCTAATGTAGCTACTTCCTTCCTAACATTGTTTTTCCAACATAAACAATATAAAATAAAGTCATTTTCATTATCCATAATCTCTTCTCTTTGTGTTTGGATTCGTACATTTGGACTAGTCCTTTAATTAACGAAGGTAACAGTGTAGTGAACCTCAGTGCAACGAACCATAACCTTTGGTGTTTTAACGCGTCTAACTTTTGGGACGTCTAACTTTTGGGACGACACCAATTGGAGCACCTGAGGATGCGTTCTTCATGCCAATAGGTTCACTCAAAATTTCACATGCATGTTTTCAGTCCAGCATTTCCAACTATTAATGATATTTTCTTCCCGTTTGGAAATATTGCGCTGACAGTTTTGAGATAGAAATCTAACGGGTTTATAGTCATATGTCTATTTATGTTTTCGACTTCGAGCAACAGGTGGTACCGAATGGAAATAAAGTTTTATTCCATGTTTGTCATGAATGGAAGAAATGAAAAATAAATGTAACGTTTGAACATTATTTAACATGGCTCGTAAATACTATATATGAAAATACAGAAAATCGTTATTCGGTTGTATTAAGGATTAGTTATAAAACTTAGAGATAGGGTATTGGAAGTAGATTTATAGCATACAACAATATATCTCCGTGGATATTTGAGGAACTTTGGAACAGAGGACCCTGATCTCATATTTTCTTGCTCTTCAATAACTGGGAGAGGCATTGTCGTTAAAACGTCCCCCCAAAGACCTGGATTCGATTCCCCACATGGGTACAGTGTATAAAGCCCATTTCTGGTGTCCCCCGCCGCGATATTGCTGGAATATTGCTAAAAACGTCATAAAACAATACTCACTTATTTCATCCCTACTTTGCAACATTCATGCTTTACTTGTGTTTCCACGTCATCGTATCATAACTTCGTAGACAAATGCTCATGATGTTGGTCACTGGATTATCTGATCCATACTCGACCATGTGCAGACCGCCGTCGTATAGCTGGAATATCGCTGAGTGCGGCGTTGAGCAACAAATACACAAATCTAGTTTTGTCGATCACTGTCAACATCCAACACTTTTCAGTGCTACACTTCAACTCGCCTGGCCGCTCTGAGCGGGTTGGGACACAATAACAAAGTACGCTTGATAAATGAAAGAAAAAGCTTTTTGACAAACATAGATAAACTCGCCCTAAGCATGTCATGACATTCTAAGGAAAACCCGAGATCCCCTGAACAGTAAATGGTATGCCCCTCGGATGTATACAGTCCACATTTTAATGGTTAAGACTGAACGCTTAACGCTTCATACGTGGAGACCAGACACAACGACAAGTGACCACTACTGGATTTAACACCATGAAGGGTGAAGAAGAAACGCATAAAAGGTAAGATATTCATATTTAGTAATACCAGAAGAACATGTCTGTTGTTTTACAAAGTAAAGAACTACATATCAGAAACAACTGCCTCAATGTTCCTACCAAAGAAATTGAACAAAAACATCTGATTTTGCATCTGTCAGTAAAAGTGAGCACCTTTCCCTGATTTCCTAAATCGTTTTCACAAAAATATCTTCTTTGTTGTGCTGCATGTTGGTTACAATTCTTGAAAAAGTCATTCGTCGAAAAGTACTCAAAGTTATCAAAATTAGTATTGTAGTTAATACACATGCTTATTAGGATCTGAAAATGCGAAATCTTAACGCAAACAAATCTGGATATAACACATTTGAAACTAAACAAAATATAGACCCAAAACCAAAATAATAGAAGATGTATGCAAACTGCCCGATAAAGCAAACAGTTATTTGTTTTTTAATCTCTGTTTCATGTACATGTACTTGTCAAATATAACATTGGCCCCAGGCGACTGTCGCTCAATGCATCAAGTATCTGCACCTGTATTTTAACGCTGTGTATATCCTTAAAATAATTTATCAGGTTGATGTTTCACAGCATCTGACGGTACCCGGTAGACACCCTGTCGTTATATGCCAAGCCAGTCAAACCTGTTTACCCGTCTGGTCATACCTAAAACCAGACGCATTGAACGTAGCCGTCAATCCAGAATGCATTCAATGAACTGTGATAGATATGATCCAGGCTCCCGGCTCGATGTCTGGCGCAGTGAATTTCGAGGTGCTTCAGTATAACAAAAAAGTGTCTCTTTATAAACGCTTCAGGACGATCTGGCTTTTTGTTCATTGGTAACAGACTATAGAAAGCATGTCAATGTTCCCGAGCTTCCGTCACTTCTGTGTAATATGTCAAAGTTCCTGATCGACTATTCCTTCTGTGTAACATGTTAATGTTTATGATCTTCTGTCCTCATCTCTGTAATACATCACTATTCCTTATCTTCTATCCTTTCTGTCCATTAAAATATGGTTCTTGTTGGTCCCTGCCTGGCACTCGGCATAATGGGTACAACAAGGACTGGTCGGCTCGGAGTCAGTATAATGTGTCTGAGTGGGGTATTCATGCATCACTGCGGCATGGTATCTCAGTGGGCTAGCACTATAAAACCAGCTTAAGTCTGGGCTAGTACAAACAGCCGCACATACACACGCATGCACGTCGTGATATGAGCGAAATATTCTCACGTTAAACCCAATTTCACCTCACCTCAACTTCCTGCGTAACATACCAATGTTCCTGATTTTATAGCCTTTCTGCGTAACATGTTAATGCGTATGACCTTCCAACCACATCTCTGTAATACGCCTATGTTCTTGATTTTCCAACCTTGCTCTGTAATATATCTTTATATTCTATTCTGTGTCAATGTTCTTGATCTCCTTCCCTTTCTGTCTGACACATGTAGGTGATTTATATTCTATCCTTTCTCTTAAACATGCTCATGTTTGTGACCTAACTATGTCCGTGTAACATGTCTCTGTTCTTTATATTCTATCCTTTCTGCCCACCACGTCAATGATCCTGATCTTCTATCCTTTCTGTGTAACATGTCTCTGTTCTTTATATTCTATCCTTTCTGCCCACCACGTCAATGATCCTGATCTTCTATCCGTTCTGTGTAACATGTCTTCGTTCTTTATATTCTATCCTTTCTGTCCACCACGTCAATGATCCTGATCTTCTATCCGTTCCATGTAACATGTCTATGTTCTTTATATTCTATCTTTTCTGTATAGCATGTCAATGTTCTTGATCTAACATCCCTTGTGTGTCACACGCACTAGAACTGATGCCATGCTATTTGTTACAGTTCGGCAAGAAGGCCTCTGATATATGCAATCCTCGGTGGGTCGATGCTTATTGCTCTTGGGCTAGCATTTGGTATTGGGTTTGGTCTGAGGAGACATAAACCAATGATGGCACCAGAAAAGGCCCAGCCAGAAGAAAGGAAATCTAAAACAGGAAGTTTCAGATTTGCCTCTGTTGTCTCTGATACCAAGCAATGCTCCGAAGTTGGAACGTAAGTCCCAGAAATTATTGTCACCTTGCGTACTTGCCCCAGAGCGTATGATCAACATATTTCGGGGTCCTAATACGTACCCGCCCCAGAGTGTATCATCAACATACGTACCCGCCCCAGAGTGTATCATCAACATACGCACCCGCCCCAGAGTGTATCATCAACATACGTACTTGTCACAGAGCGTATCATCAACATACGTACTAGTCACAGAGTGTATCATCAACAAACGTACTTGTCACAGAGTGTATCATCAACATACGTACCCGCCCCAGAGTGTATCATCAACATACGTACCCGCCCCAGAGCGCATCATCAACATACGTACTTGTCACAGAGTGTATCATCAACATACGTACTAGTCACAGAGCGTATCATCAACATACGTACTAGTCACAGAGTGTATCATCAACATACGTACTTGTCACAAAGTGTATCATCAACATACGTACCCGCCCCAGAGCGCATCATCAACATACGTACCCGCCCCAGAGCGTATCATCAACATACGTACTTATCCTAGAGTGTATCATCAACATACGTACTCGTCTCAGAGTGTATCATCAACATACGTACTAGTCACAGAGTGTATCATCAACATACGTACTAGTCACAGAGCGTATCATCAACATACGTACTAGTCACAGAGTGTATCATCAACATACGTACTTGTCACAAAGTGTATCATCAACATACGTACCCGCCCCAGAGCGCATCATCAACATACGTACCCGCCCCAGAGCGTATCATCAACATACGTACTTATCCTAGAGTGTATCATCAACATACGTACTCGTCTCAGAGTGTATCATCAACATACGTACCCGCCCCAGAGTGTATCATCAACATACGTACCCGCCCCAGAGTGTATCATCAACATACGTACCCGCCCCAGAGTGTATCATCAACATACGTACTTGTCACAGAGCGTATCATCAACATACGTACTAGTCACAGAGCGTATCATCAACATACGTACTAGTCCCAGAGTGTATCATCAACATACGTACCCGCCCCAGAGCGCATCATCAACATACGTACCCGCCCCAGAGTGTTTCATCAACATACGTACTAGTCACAGAGCGTATTATCAACATACGTACTTGTCACAGAGTGTATCATCAACATACGTACCCGCCCCAGAGTGTATCATCAACATACGTACTTGTCACATAGTGTATCATCAACATACGTACCCGCCCCAGAGTGTATCATCAACATACATACTAGTCACAGAGTGTATCATCAACATACGTACTTGTCACATAGTGTATCATCAACATACGTACCCGCCCCAGAGCGTATCATCAACATACGTACTTATCCTAGAGTGTATCATCAACATACGTACTCGTCCCAGAGTGTATCATCAACATACGTACCCGCCCCAGAGTGTATCATCAACATACGTACTTGTCACAGAGTGTATCATCAACATACGTACTAGTCACAGAGCGTATCATCAACATACGTACTTGTCACAGACTGTATCATCAACATACGTACCCGCCCCAGAGTGTATCATCAACATACGTACCCGCCCCAGAGCGCATCATCAACATACGTACCCGCCACCGAGAGTGTATCATCAACATACATACTAGTCACAGAGTGTATCATCAACATACGTACTAGTCACATAGTGTATCATCAACATACGTACCCGCCCCAGAGTGTATCATCAACATACGTACTTATCCTAGAGTGTATCATCAACATACGTACTCGTCCCAGAGTGCATCATCAACATACGTACTTATCAGAGTATGTATCATACGTACTCGTCCCAGAGAGTACCATCAACATACGTGGCCCTTTCCAGAGTAAATCATCAACATACCTATCCGTTCCAGAGAGTATCATCAACATGAATACACGTCCCCGAGAGTATCATCAACGTAGCCGTCCCAGACTGTTCCATCAATTAGCGTGCAACATCAACATACGTACCCATCAGAGAATGTATCATCGATATCCGTACTCGTCCAATAATGTATGATCTGTATACGTACTCGTTCTAGAGGGTATCGTCAACACACGTAGACGTTGCACAATTCATCATCACCATACGTACATGTTAAAGATTTATCATCACCAGAGGTACATGTTACAGATTTATCATCGCCATACGTACATAGTAGATTTATCATCGCAATACGTACATGTTAAAGATTTATCATCACCATACGTACATGTTAAAGATTTATCATCACCAGACGTATACATCTCAGTCTGTTTTCTTATCAAACTTTATTCCTACTTGAAGTTGTCGCTTCCCATCTCTTGTTTTCTAGGGCTGATTATTTTGGATGTTAAAAAATGCAACGTAAGCTAGCAAATAGAAATCTGTTACGCATCAGAGGATGGTTTCTTTGCAAAGTATATGGGTTTATTTCTCAGGATCGTCTTGGCGAAAGGTGGATCAGCGGTTGATGCAGCTATAGCGACAGCTCTCTGTTCCTGTGTATTAAATGCACAAAGCTGTGGTCTGGGAGGAGGGTTCTTTATGACGGTTTACAACAGGTAAATACATACACAATAACAACTTATGAATAATATGATATTGGTATATATTAAAATATGTTCGAGAAGGATATTTTACTTTGGTAAGCGGGGATGTTAATGTTACGATACAGTGGAGGTACAGACCAATTCGTCACTCTTCTATGTATACTAATCCATTGGTAAACTCGGGAATGAGAGATCATTTCCATTCTGGTGTAACTTCCAGCTTGTGTTGACTTACAGAGGAGGTTCATTTGCACAATATTTTCAGTCTTTATCAACCCGTGAAGATCCGGGGTAAAACAAGTCTTCAGCAACCCATGCTTGCCACACAAGGCGACTATGCTTGTCGTAAGAGGCGACTCTCGGGATCGGGTGGTCAGGCTCGCTGACTTGGTTGACACCTGTCATCAGTTCCCAATTGCGCAGATCGATGCTCATGCTGTTGATCACTGGGTTGTCTGGTCCAGACTCGATTATTTACAGACCGCCGCCATATAGCTGGAATATTGCTGAGTGCGGCGTAAAACTAAACTCACTCACTTTAGTCTTTATCGATTCACAAACAATTCTAATCCGTGAATATCCGGGTTAGAATTAACCCGTGCTTGTCGTAAGAGGCGACTAACGGATCGGGTGATCAGGCTCGCTGACATGGCTGACACATGACATCGTATCCCAGTTGCTTAGATAGGTGCTCATGCTGTTGATCACTGGATAGGTGCTCATGCCGTTGAACACTGGATTGTCTGGTCCAGATCCGTTTATCTACAGACCACCACAGTGTAGCTTGAACATTGCTGAGTACGGCTTAAAACAACAAACCAAATCAAATACAAACGAAGCTCACATCTAGAACCTTTTTGTTTGCATAATATGTCCAGTCTTTATTGATTGACGGACAATGTTCATGTCTGGAACCATTTGTTTTGTATAATATTTCCAAAGACGTGTGCAAACATTTCTGAAGAATATCACACTGATTTATTTACAATATAAGGGTAATGCTATTTTTGAGGGCATTATCATTTGCAGAAGCCCGAGGTCTTCTGCAAATGATAATGCCCTCAAAAATAGTATTACCGTTATTATTGCTAAAATACATGGAATTTGTGTTGAAAGGAAAAAGGAAATAATGAAGGAATTTGACTGTAAGTTTACCCAAATCAACTTCTGACGCGGTTGACTGCCCGAATGCAATTACGTCATCGAACAATTCAAGTGACGTCACAACAGAAAGTGACGATATTCGACCTTGGCCTTTGACAAGACCATAGCCTGCAACATGTCAAACTATGTCGGTGTTCGGTTTGGTCCTTCAACAGCCTTAGTGCAATTGTTAAGGTTAGCACCAACAAGAAAGCCAATATTACCGCTATTTAAAGCGGGAATTCGGGTTGCTTTGACTTGTTTGACCCAGAATATCTGCCAGTCGAAAGCCGATTAATGTCGAATGAACCGTAAGCCCACGCACCCACTATGACGTCACTTGACAACAGAACTGATAGTGGCCCGTCGTTAAGGTTGAGCGGTCCAATATCATTTGCAGCGGCCCGCACATTTCTGATAATGGGAGGGCCGTTTCATGATAATTCCATGTATTTTAGCTATAAACGTTAATAACATTCACAATGACCATTTTTATGAAATGCGATGCTAAATGTCTTGCTGGTCCGGTATGGTTATACACTGTAGCCTTTACAGAAAGCCCAAAATCATATACCCATTTTATATAAGCAAACTGTTTCTCTGGCAACATATATTATGATTTCGCCATGAACAAATGAAGACGTGTTTGTCCAGATTGAAGTTTCGTTCTCACATTGTTAAATCCAAGACATCCATATTGTTTAAGCTTTTCTAATCTCACACCTTAACCAGTAAGAAAGCGGGTGAGCAGGCAAAAAACAATAGGTATAAAATAGGAACAAGTAAGAAGTGTGTTTTTCTAATTGGGTACCCTATTCATGAAGCAAAATTGATCACTCACAAAAAGTCATTTATTTAATGTCATCTGTCAAACCAACAATCCCATCTGCATGTGTTAAATTTTTTAGAACTGCAAATGTGATCCTTGGATTCCTGTGTACATTTTCCGTTTGTATCCTGGGCCAACAGGAATGTCCCACGTACATTCAGTTAGAGAGTGGTCTGGTTTCATGGAACTACGTGGGTTGTTATAGAATTTTCGTTTTGAATTGAATTACTTACTGGAATTAGTGTTGTCCAACGAAAACAAATACAAAATTTTGAATATTAGTATTAACAATTACACAAATCCTGCTTTGCCATTGGCGCAACAACCCAATTGTTTATGGGCACCGGACTAGTTTTTCTCTAGCTCTCAGACGAAAATAATGTCCTTCCTCAAATGGTTTACTTTGCAGCTGTTATGACTACTTTGAAAATGTTGCAATTTTACATTTGATATTCTGTTCTTTTTTTGTGTGAATAGAGCCTCAGGTACGTCCTACGTTCTGGATGCTCGAGAAAGAGCGCCCTTGGCCGCCAACAGCACAATGTATGTTGGACGAGAGAAGGGCGCATCCCTAAACGGTGAGTTGCAATAAATGGGTCCCTTTTCAACTCATCTAGCATCGCAAGGCCATGAGAGCCTGCCCGTTAAGTTGTCTGTGTTTCCAGTCTCCCACCCGCCATTATTTTACATTGCAAATGGCAAGTTTTCGTATTTCAATTTCCCCCATCGCTCTTGAAATGTATGGCCTGAAGAGAAAGAAACATTCTATTTTAACTCTTACAACACCATGCATGTCATCTTCCATCATCTACATTTACTTTTGAAAATCCGAAGTGACTCCATGTTTTCTACTAATTAATTTTTAAACTATTAACAAGTGATCTCAAAATTTAAAATCGATAAATTTGTTTCGGTCATTAAAAACGCTTTGGGGTTTGCCCATCCGCCCTTTTGGTGAATATGGCTGGAGATGAGAAACGCAAACATGTACGGGTGGCCTAACATCAAGAGGAGAAATTACTTGTACCATTATGATTGCTTGTAAAGGGGAAAGTGTTTCTTCTCTGTTAAATATTACTGCGATATTCATGTAGTTGTACAAACGAGCTAATGAAATCAAGTTGAAACAAAGTGATTTTGTATCAGCAATTTGAAAAAAATACAATGGTTGATGTTTTAAGCATTTTTGCGTTGAATAGTTGAAATAACTTAAATTTCATTTTATTTATTTTTCATATTTTCAAATCTGTGCATTAAAATAACATGTCCCTTTTAAACAACTCATTTATAATGTAGATATCTTTATCTCCACAAGGCCGTGATTTAGAATATTGCTAAAAGCGGCGTAAAACTACATTGAGTCAAGTCAGGCTTTATCTCCACAATTAAGAATAGCAACTACATTGAGAAACAATTAAGGAACTCATTAAATTTCAAGCGTTCCTTTAATATTTTCCAATTTTCATCACCAGCTCTGAATAGCGTTGTGTGAGGAAGTTTGAGAATAAATGAAGTGGTGTTCCCTTATTTGTTTCCCTCAGTATATATTGTCATCTGTAAGTGCGAGGAGGGTTAGATTTCAACAAGGAACGTCCTGTGTAGCTGTAATTCTTTTCTTCGTGAGTGATTTAGTGAAGTTTACGCCGGGTTTAGCAATATTCCAGCAATATCACAGCGGCACACAGACAAATTCGCTTCACATATTTAAACCATGCTGTAAATCAAAGCCTGGTCTCGTGACAAGCGAACGTTTTAAGTTGTCCCACCATCCTCTTTCTTATGAAGCGAAAATAAATTCAAAGCTGGTGATGAAAACTGGAAAATATTAAAGGAACGCTTGAAATGTCATGAATTCCTTAATTGTTTCTCAGTATAGTATGCTAGTCTAAATCACGGTTGTGGTTGTGGAGATAAAGATATCTACATTATAAATGCGTCGTTTAAAAGGGACATGTTATTTTAATGTAATTAATGTTTGAAAAAATTCCACGTAACTTTTAAGGGTACGTTGTGCTGGGAACATCATATACGAAACAGTCGTGCTGTAGATAATGTTTGTTAACCCTAAAGGAAATAAGCCTTGGTGAAGCCGAAATGCTTGAAAATAAACGCCGAGGTTGAATTAACATTTGTCGTGAATAGTAGTTTGTTCCTTTGAAAATTCAGCTGTTCATCCACACAAATGCCATAGAGGACTCTGCCATACGCATAATAAGAATGTGGCCGAATATTCTCCGAACACACAGCATGTTTTATTGAGAGGGAATGTAAACACAGGTGGACGGAGAAGGCGACCTTGTACGACACGGATCACTGGTTGCTTAAAGTGGTGTCAATGTCTCCTAGATGGTCAGCCAAGTATCAGATGTCCTGTGGCTTTTCTGAGCTTTTAAGCCATACATTGGCTACCGGCCTGTGAAATGATATATTCTACATTTTTTCTGCCATCTTGCAAGCAGACTGGAAATTATTGTACATGGGCGGTGTTGGTCATCAAGCTGTAAACAGTATATATTGAGACCACTTAAAAAAAAAATTACAGGAATATACATATGAGTAATAAGTGAGAATTTTGGTTCTGATCACTAATTGTAATTAGATTTTATATAACCTAGATATTGATAAACAACCTTACCTTTACGTATTTTTTCAAATCGGACTTATTTCATAAAGTAACTATGAACAGATTTTGAAATATTTTATGAAATATCAGCCAGTTTGATTTTTCTCCATTGTTTGATTACCACAGAAAAGCTGAAATGTCGATTAATAGAAATACAAGTGGAGAAATAGTGGATCAATTTCGATTGGATAACGTTAACCACATGAATATGACGGACTGCTGGTATTGAATTTATGAGCATCTAGATCACTACAGCACATCCTGGGCGACTATGTAACTTGGGACAGATTCCCGGTCCGAAGTTAAAGTCGAAATATATACCGTTTGTGGTGGAACAATATATTGCCAGGCTGAAGATTTGAAAATATGTTTTTATTATCTCCAAAATAGTTATATTCATATTTAATTATACATTTTTCAAATATTTTCGCGACACAGACATTTGATGTCAACTGTGTGTAGGAGGAAAATCAGTAACGTTACCTTCGTAATTGATAGGAACTACAGAACCTTCTTTCCTGAGATTGCACGTTTCGTTTGTATACCTCTCAATATATACACATGTATTATCATCGGTCAGAATTATAGTAAATATTGTGATACGTTGCCTCTCGTACCCAGTTCTGACTCAGTTATCAGATGTTACCACAGATAGGCTGACATGTCATTAGAAGGCAAGTGGCCTCAGTTATCAGATGTTACCACAGATAGGCTGACATGTCATTAGAAGCAAGTGGCCTCAGTTATCAGATGTTACCACAGATAGGCTGACATGTCATTAGAAGCAAGTGGCCTCAGTTATCAGATGTTACCACAGATAGGCTGACATGTCATTAGTAGCAAGTGGCCTCAGTTATCAGATGTTACCACAGATAGGCTGACATGTCATTAGAAGCAAGTGGCCTCAGTTATCAGATGTTACCACAGATAGGCTGACATGTCATTAGAAGCAAGTGGCCTCAGTTATCAGATGTTACCACAGATAGGCTGACATGTCATTAGAAGCAATTGGCCTCAGTTATCAGATGTTACCACAGATAGGCTGACATGTCATTAGAAGCAAGTGGCCTCAGTTATCAGATGTTACCACAGATAGGCTGACATGTCATTAGAAGCAAGTGGCCTCAGTTATCAGATGTTACCACAGATAGGCTTGTGGCCTCAGTTATCAGATGTTACCACATAGGCTGACATGTCATTAGAAGCAAGTGGCCTCAGTTATCAGATGTTACCACAGATAGGCTGAAATGTCATTAGAAGCAAGTGGCCTCAGTTATCAGATGTTACCACAGATAGGCTGACATGTCATTAGAAGCAAGTGGCCTCAGTTATCAGATGTTACCACAGATAGGCTGACATGTCATTAGAAGCAAGTGGCCTCAGTTATCTGATGTTACCACAAATCGGCTGAAATGTCATTAGAATCAAGTGGCCTCAGTTATCAGATGTTACCACAGATAGGCTGACATGTCATTAGAAGCAAGTGGCCTCAGTTTGTCAGATGTTCTTACAAATAAGGTAATAATGTTGTCACTATAATTCCCACTGCATGTTTGGAGACGCCATGGATTCATACATGAATGTGCTCCCATTCCTTTACAAACTGGTCTAAATAACTTCTGTTGAAAGTACAAGTCTATTGTTGGGAAGGGAAGACAGGTATTTTGCAACGAGAAACAGCCATGCCCCAGATAGAACTTGTTTTATGTAATACTATTATAAACTGTTGGCAAAATGAGCTGTAGGCAGCAATACAATTATCTGACCCATTTCCACAAATTGAAAGGATGGTTTGCGAGATATTCAGCATTGAAAACTGACTCAAGTGCAACAGAAAGAACCTTAACTTCTTGTTGATAGATTATTGTTGTCCTCACGTTCACGTTTCGCGTCAACTTGACTTTTGATTGATAATGGAAATAGAGGGAGCGAACTTGAGATAGCGAGACCACGGGAATGTACTCTCGGGTTACTGCATGTGTACCGAAATACGAGTCCTTCAGATATAAATGATGGGAAACAAAAACTCATTCTGTGCCGTTAGGGCGGTGGAGTAGCCTAGTGGTTGAAGCGTCCGCTCGTCACGTCGAAGACCCGGGTTCGATTCCCCGCATGGGTACAATGTGTGAAGCCCATTTCTGGTCTCCCCCGCCTTGATATTGCTGGAATATTGTAAGAGTGGCGTAAAACTATACTCACTCACTCATTCTGGGCCGTTAGCGTTTTCTTGTTCCATTCATCTTCTTCAGACCGGAATACGCCTGGATGGATCTCTTTTTTTCGAATATCCAACTGATATTTATAACTGAACAAGTGGTAGAAAGTGGGTTAGTGTATTAGTGGGTGGATGAGTGGGTATGGGTGGATAAAGGCGCGAGTCATCTGAGTGAGTGAGTGAGTGAGTGAGTGAGTGAGTGAGTGAGTAAAGTCAGAGGTGGTGTTGGGGAACCTGAAATCATCATCATCGGGTTTTCCCAAAATTAAGAACCTCGTCAGGGAGAACACTAAATGTATCAATAAAGCCTCCACAATGCAAAGTCATAATGTCACAATTTTTCGAGTTATCAATAATCTGTGTTTAAGATAATCAATACATTACCTCTGACCCTAAATAATTCGATTTGTAATTCTTTAGCCAATGGATAATACATGTCGATGAGAAATGTGAAGATCCGGGTTAGTATTGATCTTCAGTAACCCATGCTTGTCGTAAGCGGCGACTGACGGGACCGGGTGGTCAGGCTCGCTGACTTGGTTGACATATGTCATCGGTTCCCAATTACGTAGATCGATGCTCATGCTATGATTACAGAATGCAATTTAGAAAGTTGTCAAATGTAACATATGTTATATTTGGGATTACACTTTCTTAGTAAAATACAAATTCTAGTACTTTTTTTTGAGTTCACACCCATCTGGGATTCGAACCCGCACCCTCAGAGTCAGGCACCTAATCGCCAGCACACAAAGTCAGCCGCCTAACCTGCTTAGTGGAAGTCGCGGTAACTGAGCGGGTTAGGCGGCTGACTTTGTGTGCTGGCGATTTGGTGCCTGACTCTGAGGGTGTGAGTTCGAATCCCGGATGGGTCTCAACTAAAAAAAGTACTAGAATTTGTACTTTACAAAGAAAGTGTAATCTCAAATATAACATACGTTACGATGCTCATGCTGTTTATCACTGGATTGTCTGGTCCACACTCGATCATTCACAGACCGCCGTCACACAGCTGGAATATTGCTGAGTGCGGCGTATCGATAAAATCTATAACACGATACATGATACTGTATACATGATACTGTATATGATTCCAGGCGGCCTTGCTATTGCTGTCCCCGGCGAATTAATGGGGTACTGGGAGGCACACCAGAGATTTGGAAAATTACCCTGGAAAAATCTGTTCGAGCCTACAATCAAGATATGCCGGGAAGGAATAAAAGTAACTGAGGCAACGGCGTTTGGAATAAACAGATCCGTCGATCTACTTCGAAGCGGGTCATTTACGTATGTAAAACGTGTTTCTTGTCTTTGAGATATATATTCGAAGGCATTTTTCTTTACCTATTGAGAGCAGGGGAAATATATGGGGCAGTGATAATCCTGGTTACGACTACTTGTCCCAATAAACATGTGCAACGAGATGACAGATGTAATGGTTGATAAGGTCCCAATAAACCCGTGTTTGTCATACGGGATGACATATGTATATGTTCATAAAGTCCCAATAAACCCGTGTTTGTCATACGGGATGACAGATGCATTGGTTGATAACGTCCCAATAAACCCTTGTTTGTCATACGATATGACATATGTATTTGTTCATAAAGTCCCAATAAACCCGTGTTTGTCATACGGGATGACAGATGCATTGGTTGATAAGGTCCCAATAAACCCTTGTTTGTCATACGATATGACATATGTATTTGTTCATAAAGTCCCAATAAACCCGTGTTTGTCATACGATATGACAGATGTATTGGTTGATAAGGTCCCAATAAACCTGTGTTTGTCATACGGGATGACAGATGCATTGGTTGATAAGGTCCCAATAAACCTGTGTTTGTCATACGAGATGACAGATGTATTGGTTGATAAGGTCCCAATAAACCTGTGCTTGTCATACGGGATGACATATGTATTGGTTGATAAGGTCCCAATATTGGTTGATAAGGTAAACCCGTGTTTGTCATACGAGATGACAGATGTATTGGTTGACAACGTCCCAATAAACCCTTGTTTGTCATACGGGATGACAGATGTATTGGTTGATAACGTCCCAATAAACCTGTGTTTGTCATACGGGATGACAGGAGCATTGGTTGATAAGTACCCAATAAACCCGTGTTTGTCATACGAGATGACATATGTATTGGTTGATAGGGTCCCAATAAACCCGTGTTTGTCATACGGCATGACATATGTATTGGTTGATAAAGTCCCAATAAACATGTGTTTGTCATACGAGATGACATATGTATTGGTTGATAAGGTGTTGATAGTGAACAGAAGTACTGGTAGGATGATCACGATAGACCATCAGACAAATCAATGTGCTTGATGGACGGGACCTTTTTTATCATATATGCGTAAATTTTGAAATTATGAAGAATGATTTATTTAATTATTGACACACTGATAAAATATCAATACACTAGTAATCTATTAATTCTAACATTAAAGGGGTGGTGGGGTAGCCTAGTGGTTAAAGCATTCGCTCGTCATGCTGAAGACTCTGGTTCGATTCCCTACATGGTACAATGTGTGAAGCCCATTTCTGGTGTAAACCGCCGTCATGTTGCTGGAATATTGCTAAAAGCAGCGTAAAACCCAACTCATTCAATCACTCACTCGGAGCGAGACTGTTGATGATCTTAGTTGATACGTGTCCGTGTAGACACCGGTAAAACCTGTTTCATTGAATCTGATGAATGTTCATAATTATATTATAATTTTAACTTCATAATGGGAGACAACTTCTTTATCATATTATCATGCACCATTTCGGTCTTAATCCCTTTAGGACCGTCTCCGTGGTGTAGTGGTTAGAGCGTCCGCCCGGAGAGCGGAAGGTCGCGGGTTCGATCCCCGACCGCGTCATACCAAAAGACGTTAAAATTTGGTACTTGTTGGTCTCTGCCTGGCGCTCGGCATTAATGGGTACAACAAGGACTGGTCGGCTCGGAGTCAGTATAAGTGTGTCTGAGTGGGGTATTCATGCTTCACTGCGGCATGGTATCTCAGTTGGCTAGCACTATAAAACCAGCTTCAGTCTGGGCTAGTACAAGCAGCCGCACATACACATACACACGCATGCACGTCGTCATATGAGCGAAATATTCTCAAGCACGACGTTAAACCCAATTTCACCTCACCTCACCTCACCTCACCTTAATCCCTTTACTCCTGGGCCTAGATTGTGGAAGCCCTTTTAGCGCTAAGATAGCCGTAAGTGCCATACAATAACATTAACTTACGACTTTGTTAGCGCTAAGAGAGCTTCGAAAATCTAGGCCCGGGTATAAGGATCTGTAACGAATCCATCCATAGAGTATATTACTTCTTACGTGAATGAATGACTGAGAGTGACTTCAGATTTACGTCGCTTTTAGCAATATTCCCGAAATATCACAGCGGGGGATACCAGAAATGTGCTTCACACATTGTACCCATGTGGGGAATCGAACCCGAGTCTTCGGTGTGACGAGCGAACGCTTTAACCACTAGGCTACCCCACCACCCCTTTAATGTTAGAATTAATAGATTACTACAGCCCGTTCAGCTTGACCTGAGCTACTCTACATATGCATGACCCGGAAGGTCAAATGGCACAAACGGTAGGTCGTCTTAACTTGATAAAATAGGGGAGCAAAGAATGTTGCGTTCGTGCACAACATGCATGCATGGATTTGTTACAAAACAACACTTCTGAAAAAAACAATCATTTCATGTTTTAATTGAATTGTTTACACAGTCATATGCTATCTAGTTTGGTTTACTAACTTTACAACGTACAGACGTCCGTTACTTTCACAATCCGATTCACTCTCGCTGTCACTCTCTACACCCAGTTCAATTATCACTTTTTCTATGTAATGTTCAACTCCAATACGTTTGTAGCTTCATTTTAAAAGAAAGTTAGGATATTGCTGACGATTTCTCGACACTGAGGTGTGAAACGGCGACCTTGTCTCGGCTGTTCGGACATGTTGACAATCAACTGACAAAGGTGCACCTCTTCCAAATAATAGACCCAACCAGCTGTGACACGGTCATGCAATTCATTAGTATTCACTTGATCAGGTCAAGCTGAACAAGCTGTAGTGTATTGAAATAGTCTTTGTATTTCCCTTCCATCTGCTGGTATTAAGAGTCCTGTGAATGATATTTACATCTGTACAGTTATAAACATCTTGCATTTCAATCAGAACAAAATGCACAGGAAAACTTTAATGCTGTCCTTTGTTAGCAATATAATATTGCAGGGCGTTGCACACGGTTGATTGAAATTCAGATCAACTTTGAATATCACCAGGGTTCACTCGCATAAGGGGGACAGCGGTGCAACAACCTGGTGCACTGGTAGCATTTTTACCCACATAAGACACTAGTATCTTGTCAATTACAGTTCAAATGCTACTACTACAAAACAAGTTACCCGTGCAAACCGAAACATGAGTCTCATTAACCTATTCAGACAATGACCTACTTTTCAGCCGATCCGAATTTTCTGGTGCGAAAGTGAAAAGAGACACCACAAACAACTATGGTTACACTGAATTCCAATTCCTTGTTTCATTAGAAAATGGTTAATTTTAAAAGTTAATTTTAATTTTAAACTTTAATAACATCGTATTTCTATGATTTATGGCGAGGTGTAGGCAGCATGTCGTTAACTAAGACGTCACAGACTGCCCCTGTTTGATGATTCACAATTCATCTGGCTCACTGGTTACCCCTGTTATGTGTTTTTTTGAGCTTATGCAGTGTAGTGTTGTACCGCACAATGTGATTGATATAATATCAAGTCCGTACCAGACCGCCAAACGTTTCTAGCGGCAGAGCCTCGTTTTGAGATTTCTACGATTTCCAGATTTCCGTTTGTCAGAGCCAGTGTACGACAGAGCACGCTGCACGACGTGTTTGCAAGGATTAGAAGCAGCGTAGTGTTGCAATTTATCTCACGTGCTTAGATGTATCAAATAATACTGATTAATATTTATATATCCAGTTGAATGAATTGGTCTTAAACTTCTGGACTGGTTATTATACGAAGTTACGCAATGGGACGGAACCCAGTCAGTAGGAACCGAGACCGTTTTGTAATCAATGTTTTGTCTTGAGACCCGGGTTAGAATTGATCTTCAGTAACCCATGTTTGTCGTAAGAGGCGACTAACGGGATCGGGTGGTCAGGCTCGCTGACTTGGTTGACACATGTTATCGTATCCAAACTGCATATAGCGATGTCCATGCTGGATGATCACTGGATTATCTGGTCCAGACGCGATTATATACAGTGGATATAGTTTAGTGCGACGACAACAACAACAAACAAAACACGGAATGATCAGCAACTACTGTTACAACTACTTCAACTACTATTTTAAGTAAGATCACGACAACGCTATACAGAGTCAGATGTCTTCAACCTAATAACATGCATAGCTCTATATATGTGGAAGCCTGAATTAGCTTCAGTGAGTCAGTTGATGTGTGAACATGTTATTTTAAGCAATATCCCACAATATTATATTCATTACATTACATTACATACTAACATTTGTATAGCGCCGATATCCATCTCAGCTCAGCTGCTTAAAGGCGCTTAGTTTTCCCTCGTTCACTGGATGTCAATCTCAACGGCACATCGTATTATCAATCTCAACTCCCTGGGGAACATACAACTCTTGCAGCCACTAGGCGCACCGAGTTATTGTGGCTTTCCCATCCTTACGAGGTACCCATTCACAGCTGGGTGGACTGGGACACATAGTCACAGTACTTTGTCCAAGTTTTACTGCACGTTGCTGTACCCGCAACTAGGTGTTTGCACGTATTCATGTGGCCACCATCTGGTCATATACCAACGGATTCGTGGGTTCTTTTAAGTGCACAGGGTTGTGTACTGTACACTAGGGGTTGTGACAACACTGAAAGAGTCTGCACACAAAGTTGACTCCATGGTTTTTACACCCGGTCACAGGTGGGCTCGACCCCGTCACCTCAACCTCGCTGGATCACTAGCCTGGCGCTTTAGCCAGTTCGCCCACCGCGCCACCAGACGGTTCTGACGGTTTTGGATCATATTCAAACAGCTTGTTCAGCATGACCCGAGCTACTACATATGCATGACCCGGGGTGTCAAATGGCACAAACGGCAGGTCGAGTTAACTTTATTAAATAGGGGAGCAGAAAATGTTAAACCGCGACCAGGGCCTCCTTTCACAAAGCACTAAGGTGACCGTAAGTCACTAAGGTAACCTTAGTGCAATGTTAAAGAATGGGAGTTAAGGTGAACCTTAGTAAAGGTTGCTTCGTGAAAGGAGCCCCTAGACTCGGCTGTTCGGACATGTTGACAATCAACTGACAAAGGTGCACCGTGCACAATAATAGACCCACCCAGTTGTGACACGGTCACGCATTGCATTAGTATTCACTTGATCAGGTCAAGCTGAACAAGCTGTAGATATGAAGGAACATTGTGATGACTTCGACTAAAATGGTGGTAATTTAGAAGCAAGTGAGTAACGATAACAGTAAAAAACGGAAGGCAAATTCTGTTTCACAATATGATGGGACCTTTCTGTCCAGATTCCTATACCTGTTCTCGCGCTTGGCACACAACGGCATAAGCATCACATCTAAATGTCACAAAGATGTCGTCATCCAAGAATCTTGTCTGTCATACAGATCCTGAAACAAATATACCCAAGTCTGAGAAATAAAGTTTCTGGTTTGCTTTTCATGAACATCAAGTATCTTGCTTTGTCGTAGCTCACCAATTTCTACTGACTGACTTTCTGACTGAGTTTGGTTTTACGCCGCTTTTAGCAATATTCCAGCAATATCACGGCGGGGGACACCAGAAATGGGCTTCACTCATTGTACCCATGTGGGGATTCGAACCCGGGTCTTCGGCGTGACGAGCCAACGCTTTAACCACTAGACTACCCCACCGCCCCCACCAATTTCTAAAATTGCAATCGAACAGATCACAAGTGTATATCTTCAAAACTAAATTAACATGATTTCTGGTGCTATGATTGCTCAGGGCGCCATGTTTCCATCATCATCCAATCAATAATTACTTCTTAATATGTCAGGGGCAGTGGGGTAGTCTAATGGGTAAAGTGTTCGCTCGTCACGCCTAAGACCCGGGTTCGATTCCCTACATGGGTACAATGTGTGAAGCCCATTTCGGGTGTCCCCTGCCGTGATATTGATTGACTATTGCTAAAATCTGCGTTAAACTACACTCACTCACTCTTCACTGGTCATTGACAAAACGTTGGCGTGCATACGTCACTTCCGTGAATGTCTAGCTGGAAATTGACCGGATCGGGACAGTGTCCGTATGAATGACCACAATGTCCAAATCCAGCCAAAGAGAACAATACCTCCGACTTTCCTAGCAAGCGTTATGGCAGTCTTGTTGATCATGCGGGAAAGAACATTCCCAGAGACCGACCGGTGGGAATAAAATAAAAGTGGCATAAAATCACACTCACTCACTCTGAATATATCAACGTTTTATCATATTACTATGTATCTGTTTACTGTTACAGAATGTACTTCAACGCTGCCTCTGGAGCCGCAAAAGGGGTAGGAGACACGGTGATGTATCCCAAACTCGCAGACACCCTGGAGACTATCTCTACTGAGGGGGCCTCGGCTTTCTATAACGGAAGCCTGACTGATGCCATAGTGTCTGAGATACAGGAGAATGGTGAGTGTTAGGGGACTGGACAATTGCACGTCACACAGAAACAGCTGGGTGTAGAGATCAAGCAGATTATGAAAGAGAATGAAAATGGTGAGCGCTGTTGGATGATGAGAAGAGGACAATACCACAAGTCAGCACCAGCAGGGAACAGCTGGGTGCAGAGATCAGTATATAGACAGACGCACACATATACGCACATTTTTTTTCTCATACACAGACACTCACACACGCACAAACACACGTATATTTGAATTAGTACGGCTTTGAAGCCACAACCTCACCCCACCCCCAACACACACACACCACACCCACACCACTCAGACGCACCCCTGAGCCCATTATTCAACTCCACACTCAGCAATATTCCAGCTATATGGCGGCGGTCTGTAAGTAACTGACCATTTTGCCGCCCGCCACTCCGCCTTGGAATCGTCCAATATTTGCCAATAAGACAGCCTGTCCTTCTTTGATGGTAAATTCTGGTTTGGTTTTGTTTTACGCATTACTACGCAATATTCCAGCTATATGGCGGCGGTCTGTAATTAATCGAGTTCGGACCAGACAATCCAGTGATCAACAACTAAACGTCGATCTAAGCAAATGAGTTACGATGACATGTGTCAATCAAGTCAGCGAACCTGACCACCCGATCCCGTTAATCGCCTTATACGTCCGCCCCTCTGAAGATTGCAAGGGCCAAGGGATTTTATCTCAACTTCTGTTCACAGATATTGCAGTCTCTCATTATTAATGACAGTAACCGTGTCTATTTCCAGGTGGCATAATAACAAAAGAAGATCTGAACGAGTACACCGTCTCCTGGCGCACTCCGCTGACCTTCACCTTGAGAGACGGCACCACAATTCACTCAATGCCCGCTCCCGGAAGTGGAGCTGTGTATGCCTACATCCTCAATGTCCTGGACGGTACATTCTTGCGTTAATCGTTTCTATATCAGCATGTAATTCGGAGATATTACGTAGATTTTAGCCATTACTTACAAACTCACTTCCGGAAACAGTTCTGGGTATTTGAATATCGTCATGTTTTGTATACCTTACTTACGTTTACTCTTGAGAAGCACTGGAATAATATCTGGCTCATATGTGCATGTCTTAGATAGCATTGCGTCGGACATATGGTTTTCTCGATGAAGAAATCTTTGGTCCTATGTATTTCTTATGTAGTCGTCTTTCCGTGGTTATTTCGAAACTGGGATGACTCGAAATATCCTGTCACCTTTGACACTGTATTTTCACGTCAATGTCTCCCGTCCGGGGAAGCTGGGATCCCGTGTATATCTCTCGGTCTCTCTCTCTCTCTCTCTCTCTGTCTCTCTCTCTCTCTCTGTCTCTCTCTCTCTCTCCTCTCTCTCTCTTCTCCCCTCTCTCTCTCTCTCTCTTTTTCTCTCCTCTCTCTTTTTGTCTCTCTCCTCCCTCCGTCTCTGAATCTCTCTCCCTGTCGTTCAATCCCTCTCTCTCCCCTCTCTCTCTCTTCCCCACTCTCCTCCCCTCTCTCTCTCTTTCTCACTCATGTCAGCTCTCTCTATATACATTCAGGGTACGACTTGACGACAGAAAGTGTCTCGAGTGACGACAACAGTATACTGACATACCACAGAATAGTGGAAGCTTTCAAGTTCGCATATGCCAAGAGAACAGAACTTGGTGACGAAGATTTTGAAGACGTTGCAGAGGTAAGACTATCTGACAGTTTTAGCAATATTCCACAATATCACGGCGGGGACACACCAGAAATGTTCTTGTGGTTAATATCCGCCTACGCCTTATACCGGTATCAAATAAGGCACAATCGAATACCAATTTCCTAATTTTATTTTAGTCACCATCAACCACCTTGTCACACTTTTGTTTCATCTGGCATTTGTCAGGCAGAACTTCAGATCTTCTTTTGTTATTATGCCAGGAAATAGACACGGTTACTGTCGGTTGAGTGAGTGAGTGAGTTACTTTTAGTCACATCGGTCACATCAATCTCATGTGACCTAACTAAGATTTTGACTATATAAAAAGGACAAGATCATTCTTGTTGGCTTCTCTTCTTCTTATATGGGCCTATTCCAGAGAAGTTTCACGTCCCCAATTACACATACATCATACGAGCTCGTTGCCCAAAATACACAGATTATGTTCCAATATCCGCATGTAATGTTCCGCTAACCCACTGTAAAATGTCATCTGGTTTGTGATCGTGTTGAAGCTGATGAGGAACATGACGTCGCGGGAATTCGGGGACGCGACCCGGGCCCGGATTGATGACGCAGCTACTCACAACGCCACCTACTACGGCGCCACCTTCTCCAACCAGCCAGACCAAGGGACGTCGCATATCTCTGTGGTGGATGCGACAGGGAACGCTGTGGCGATCACATCAACCATTAACTACTAGTGAGTACAGCTTCATGCCTAGTTGTAAGATGGAAGCATGTAGACATAAGTAATTGTAAAATATCAAAGGCGCCGACAGTACTTTATCAGGTGATGAACTACACCTATTGTGTTACGTCACACTGTATGGACGTCACGCCATTCTAGTCTGTCCCCTCATCAAACGTAAACATGGTAACCGACGTCACTATGTGTACCTGCCGAGCGGCCTGTTCTAGTCATTGTTTATTTTTAGAACACTTTTATGGTGTCACGTGATAGGTAATGTGACCGGAAGCAGGAGGCCATGTGCTTCTCAGTTTTGCTACAGAACGAGGCGAGGTCTCACAGTTTTTTCAACCTTTAATCAGCGATTGGTATTGTATGTTCATACAGCCAGCAGAGAGTACAGACGTGTAAACATGTTCAGAAGTAAGAAATAAAGTCATAGTTCATTGATACCGATCGTTGTGTTGGAAATGAAAATGAGCCTACAGGATTGCGCAGTGCAGTGGATCAGTACACTACGTATGTCAGTTGTTATTGACTAGTACATTCTCCTACAGTACAACTCACCCCATAACATACCAGAATCTGCACTTTACTGAGGAAGTAAATATTAATATAATTGTTCAGGGCAAAACTGTACTTTATAACACTATACTTGGTGCATTGGGGCAGAGCGAAGTCTAAATTCTGATGTTCGCAAAAAAATAATAGGAGTTGGCTGGTTGGCTTTGTTGTTTAGAGTGAGTGAGTGAGTTTAGTTTTACGCCGCACTCAGCAATATTCAAATTATATGGCGGCGATCTGAAAATAATCGAGTCTGGACCAGACAATCATGTAATCAACAGCATGAACATAAATCTACGCAATTGGAATACGATGACATGTGTCAACCAAGTTAGCGAGCCTGACTACCCGATCCCGTTTGTCGCCTTATACGTCCGCCCATCTGTAGATTGCAAGGGCCAAGGGATTTTATCTCAACTTCTGTTCACAATATTGCAGTCTCATATTATGTAATGATATGGCACCAGGCAATGACTATTTCCTGGTGGCATAATAACAAAGAAGATCTGAAAATACACCGTCTCTTTTTAAATACTTATTGTGATATTTTTGCGCAAAAAAAATAAATTTGTATGTACAGAGAGAATGCATATCATGATTTATTTTCTGTTCGGCGATCTATAGCCCTTATTGTATATGGTATTGTCCCAAAGGTGAATGATAGTTTTAATATCTGAAATGTGATTAAAACATTTAACTCACTCACTCACTTCTTCCTGTTTCAGTTTTGGATCTAAAGTACTGGGTAGAACAACGGGAATAATGTACAACAATGAAATGGACGATTTCTCGACACCCGGTACTGTCAACGTGTACGGCGTGCCAGCATCTCCCGCCAATTTTATCAAGCCTGGAAAGCGCCCTCTGTCGTCAATGTGTCCTACTGTTGTGGTAGATAACTCCAGCGACGTCATCTTGGTTTTAGGTGGATCCGGAGGCACAAGGATTACAACCGCTGCATCCCTAGTATGTTGACACCCAACATTTTTAACATGTGAAGGTCTGGGTTAGAATAATGATCTTCAGTAACCCATGCTTGCCGTAAGAGGCGCCTAACGGGATCGGGTGGTCAGGCTCGCTGACTTGGTTGACACATGTCATCGGTTCCCTAATGCGCAGATCGATGCTCATGCTGTTGATCACTGGATTGTCTGGTCCAGACTCGATTATTTACAGAGTGAGTGCGGCGTAAAACTAAACCCACTTTTAAAACACGAATTACCAAATTTAAAAAATTGTTACGACTGATTATAATCGTGTGATTAGACTTACCACATGATATGTGTCCATGGAATGCCTTGTCGCCTCAGGGGCGGTGGGGTAGTGGTTCGAGTTTCACGCCGAAGACCCTAGTTCGATTCCCCACATGGGTACAATGTGTGAAGCCCATATCTGGTGACATTGCTTGAATATTGCTAAAAGTGGCGTAAAACCATACTCACCCGTACTCATCCATTCACTTTGCGTGAGAATTGAGTCCATTTGATCTGTTTGAAACTTTGATCGTCGGTCTGAATCCCGGCTGGCCTTGGCTACGTTTTTTGGCTTGCAAGCAAGGAGCTCATATCAACCACTCATTTGTCCGGGCAGATTATGTTTTTTTGTCCTTTTTATTCGTGAAAATGTTAACAAAACAGTGGCAAATGTGAAATTAGTGACAGATCAGGTCGCACATTTTTATAAACAATTTGAAGTCACTACCACAATAGCTCACATACACACACAATTATAAACACTGTGAAATCACTGACACAAATAGCTCACACACACTTTAATGAATAATGTTAGTTAACTATGACATTTGCTCATTTACACGTTAATAAACAATGTTAGTTCACTATCACAATAGCTCTTACACACACGTTAATAAACAATGTTAGTTCACCATCACAATAGCTCTTACACACACGTTAATAAACAATGTTAGTTCTCTATCACAATAGCTCTTACACACACGTTAATAAACAATGTCAGTTCACCATCACAATAGCTCTTACACACACGTTAATAAACAATGTCAGTTCACCATCACAATAGCTCTTACACACACGTTAATAAACAATGTTCAGTTCACTATCACAATAGCTCTTACACACACGTTAATAAACAATGTCAGTTCACCATCACAATAGCTCTTACACACGTTAATAAACAATGTTAATAAACAATGTCAGTTACACCATCACAATAGCTCTTACACATCATAATAAACAATGTTAGTTCACAATCACAATAGCTCTTACACACGTTAATAAACAATGTTAGTTCACCATCACAATAGCTCTTACACACACGTTAATAAACAATGTCAGTTCACTATCACAATAGCTCTTACACACACGTTAATAAACAATGTTAGTTCACTATCACAATAGCTCTTACACACACGTTAATAAACAATGTTAGTTCACTATCACAATAGCTCTTACACACACGTTAATAAACAATGTCAGTTCACCATCACAATAGCTCTTACACAATGTTAGTTCACCATCACAATAGCTCTTACACACACGTTAATAAACAATGTCAGTTCACTATCACAATAGCTCTTACACACGTTAATAAACGTTAATAAACAATGTTAGTTCACCATCACAATAGCTCTTACACGCACGTTAATAAACAATGTTAGTTCACTATCACAATAGCTCTTACACACACGTTAATAAACAATGTCAGTTCACCATCACAATAGCTCTTACACACGTTAATAAACAATGTCAGTTCACTATCACAATAGCTCTTACACACACGTTAATAAACAATGTTAGTTCACCATCACAATAGCTCTTACACACGTTAATAAACAATGTCAGTTCACTATCACAATAGCTCTTACACACACGTTAATAAACAATGTTAGTTCACCATCACAATAGTTCGCACACACTTTAATAAAGAATGTTAGTTCACTATCACAATATCTCTTACACACATTCTAATAAAGAATGTTAGTTCACTATCACAATATCTCTTACACACACGTTAATAAACAATGTCAGTTCACTATCACAATAGCTCTTACACTCACGTTAATAAACAATGTTAGTTCACAATCACAATAGCTCTTACACACACGTTAATAAACAATGTTAGTTCACTATCACAATAGCTCTTACACACACGTTAATAAACAATGTTAGCTCACTATCACAGCGGTTTGCACACAAGGTATTATAGATAAATGTTAGTTCACTATCACAATAGCTCGCACGCACTTTAATAAACAATGTCAGTTCAGCATGACAATAGCTCTTACACACACGTTAATAAACAATGTCAAATCACTATAGCAATAGCTCTCAACAGGTTTATTAACAATGTGAAACTACAGACAGAATAGGATTCACATTCACCTAATATTTACATGTTCTTAAACTTGGTTTTCATGATGCACACTGAAAAACAATCAAGACATGTCACAGACTGAGTGTATTTGAGAGGCATTTGTATATTTGTCCAGATAACCCTGAACACCCTCAAGTTTGGATTGAGCCCAGGTGAGGCTCTGGACCGTAAACGTCTTCACCACCAGCTTCTGCCACCTACTCTAGGAGTGGAGGACGACTTTCCACTTGTGAGTTTTATCCTACATGAGATGCATGTATGTAATAACTGTTTATTGAGGAGAGCGTTCAACAGGTTAGGTCTATTAGATGCATATATGTGTCCACTGTTTATCGAGGAGAAGGTTCAACAGGTGAGGTGTTTTAGATGCATATAACATTAAATACTTATAAATATTTGGGAGTTATATTTTCATCAACATTTAAGATGAGAAATTGTATCAATGATTTAGCCCTGAGGGGTAAGCGGGATTTAATTGAAGTAATAAGTAGTTTAAATTGAATTGGAATAGTAGACCCCGGTGTGTATCTTAAGATATTTGATGCACAGATACAACCGATATTACTGTATGGGGCAGAAATCTGGGGAATACATAAATTTTATGAAATTGAAAAGGTTCATCTAACAGCTTGCAAACGTTTCTTGAATGACAGCCCTCAAACACCTACTGCTATTGTATATGGCGAGTGTGGAAGATATCCTCTCCTTATTAACGCATTGTGTAAAACTTTAAAGTATTGGTTAAAGGTTATTCATATGCATCAAGATAGAACTCCCTTGAAAGTGTACAAAATGCAAATGTATTACGATAACTGTGGATATAAGACATATGCTACATATATTAGAGAAATACTTTTCTCACATGGATTTGGTTACGTCTGGATGTCTCAGACAGTTGGTGATGCAGCTTCATTTGTAAATAGATTCAAGACTGTTGCAATCAATATGTGTTTTCAATCATATGGAATTGTACATTGAATAACAGTTCACGATACCGTATTTACCGAGAGTTTAAAAGTCTGTTAACTCCAGAAATATATTTATCACGTATCTTGGACAAAATGTTTCGAAATATTTTGATCAAATTTAGATGTGGGTTATTAAGGTTAAAGTATAATGAGGGAAGATGGTTAAATGTTGAGGTTGCAGAACGTAATTGTACATTGTGTAAGCTAGGTGTGGAAGATGAGTATCATTTTATTTTTATATGTACTGAATATAACTCCCTTAGATTAAAATACTTGCCATATGTATATCAGAAATAACCAAACTACTATAAATTTAAGTCCCTGTTATCAACAAATAATGAAACACTTTTAAGAAATTTATGTAAATATATCTTTCATGCTTATAAAATCAGAGCAATCAAACTCCAATAAATTTTCTTTAAACCACACAGTTTTCCATTTTAAATGTTTATAAAGGTGTGTATATATGTTTATATTAAATATTATATTTATGCTGACAAGAAATCTATTTGAACAAATAACACGTGTATTATTGATATGTATGCCCTTTAAAGTGTATCTATATTTGTAAACAAATGTATGTTTGTTGTATATGGGCCTGTGGCCTACATACGGAATAAAAATACTTGACTTGACTAGATGCATAAATGTGTCCACTGTTTATCGAGGAGAAGGTTCAACAGGTGAGTGTATCAGATGCACATATGTGTGACTATTATAGGGAAGACAGTGGTCATTCGCCTCAACATTGAAAGTGTCGTCTTTCCTTATCAGCAACAGTGTTCCAGGTGATGCTAACTTCAACAATGTGTTATTCAATTGCAGGCAGTGGTAAATGGTCTCATTGCGAAAGGTCACAGCATCACTGGGTACGGATTTACGTCTGTCGTCAATATAGTCAGGGTCAAGGACAACGTGAGGCACGGCGCTTGTGACGTTCGAAAGGGAGGTGAACCAGACGGGTATTAATTCATCAAACCAAATTAATTGCGAATCATTTGTGCAGTGAAACCTTTGTACTGAATACATTGTATAGTATAGAGTTTGCATGTATATTCATGGCCATTAAATGTACGTTTCTGTTTGTTTGTGTGACGTTAATGATGATAACAGTGCGCATGTCTATTATACACAAAACCACGTACGAGAACATGCTCATGGCGCTACATTTATGTTTGGTTGGTTGTTGTTTTAAGCCGCACTCTGCAACATTCCAACTATTTGGCGGCGGTCTGTAAATAATCGAGTCTCAACGAGACAATTCAGTGATCAACATCATGAGCATCCATCTACGCAATTGCGATATGGTGACATGTGTCAACCAAGTCAGCGAGCCTGACCACCCGATTCCGTTAGTCGCCTAATACGACAACCATGGATTGCCGCAGATAGCTTCACCAGTAGCTACATATAAGCAGTTTTGTGCAGTAAACAGTAGTGAGTGAGTGAGTTGATATTTAACGTCACATCCTCAATATTGCAGCCATATCGTGACGAAAACAAGCCATACAATAACAAGTAGAAACATTTTGAAGATTAAAACCTGTCGACGATGGACAGTAAAAAGACTAGAGAATCACAGTTATAAATATAAAACTAGCTGAAAGTTAAAATATTCCAATTAAAGAAGACAATATAATATAAAATACGGGCTATAGATCGCCAACAACTGAAGGTAGATCACCATACTAAGGCCCATGGGGACTTACATTACTTTTGCTACCTGCATGGACCCTAGCTGGATTTACACCATCCCTTCAGCCATTGGCGTTGATGCTGAGATTTAGCCATACATTACAAACACAAAAATACTACGATTAAAAACCTGGTACACTTAAACTGACTTGAAATGTTTTGGGACTTACGTACCCTCGCAGGAGGACAATAATTTTGCAGTAAACAGTAAGACTGATGAAGTTCCATAACGCAGAACAGCGGTACGTTTTGACCTTGAGTGCTAAGGTAACCAGATTTTCTAAAACTTTAGGACCAGGACAGTACAGGAAAATGACCTGCATCGAAAAGCTTTTAGCTTATATTGTGGTTCTGTCAAAGGATTCTGGAGCTGGGAGCGAAGTTCATCGGCTGGAAAAAAATGATTAGCTCTGATATGCATGGAAGAAACGGACCGTCGTTCGTCCGTGCATGCTTGTATCCGTGCGTGCGTGCGTGCGTGCGTGAGTGTGTGTGTGTGTGTGTGTGGGTGGGTGTGAGTGAGTGGTTGGGTGGGTGAGTGAGTGAGTGAGTGAGTGAGTGAGTGAGTGAGTGAGTGAGTGAGTGAGTGTGTGAGTGAGTGAGTGAGTGCAACTAAACCAAGCCATACATTGATAGAATATAAACTTAAATTGTAAATTCTGTCGACGAAGGCCAATAAATACAACCGGTACATCACAGAGAGAGAACAAGCATGTCACTTTAGCATTAACATTAACAGATCAATACAGTATAAAAATCGGCTGTTGATCACCAGCAACTGAAAGCGATCACCAAAAATCATGGGGACTTAAAGTACCTTTGCTACCTGCATTTTCAGAATTCTTCAGGCGTTGGCGATGGTTGCGTAAATTAGAAATACAGTAAAGGAACATATGTTCTTGGACTAAATTCATGGAAAATTTGGGAACAATTATTTTACGCTACTTTTGAAAGTAGGGTCACTAACAAGTTGTTTATTCATTCTAACAAATTAACATTCATTGACTAATTGACAATAACGTGAGTGAGTGAGTTAAAGGTTAACGTCACCTCGGCAATATTTCAGCCATGTAGTAACGAGAAATGTTGTACATACACAATAAATACAAGTAATTAAATAACCAGTCATCAACAGACTGTCAAATAATTAGAGTATCACAAAAAGAGTTAAAACTAGCTAGCAAAGCAAAAAAACAATACAATGTAAAAATGGGCTATTGATCGCTAACAACTGAAGGTAGATCACCATACTAGGGTGAGGTGAGGTGAAATTGGGTTTAACGTCGTGCTTGAGAATATTTCGCTCATATGACGACGTGCATGCATGTGTATGTGTATGTGCGGCTGCTTGTACTAGCCCAGACTTAAGCTGGTTTTACAGTGCTAGCCCACTGAGATACCATGCCGCAGTGAAGCATGAATATCCCACTCAGACACATTATACCGACTCCGAGCCGACCAGTCCTTGTTGTACCCATTAATGCCGAGCGCCAGGCAGGGACCAACAAGTACCATATTTTAACGTCTTTTGGTATGACCCGGTCGGGGATCGAACCCGCGACCTTCCGCTCTCCGGGCGGACGCTCTAACCACTACACCACGGAGGCGGTCAGAATAGAATAGAATAGAATAGAATAGAATAGAATAGAATAATACTTTATGTGTATGTATAGTGATGTTGCACGACAATTATTTAACAATACTTTAAAGGATACAGCCACTAATAACCGCAGTTATTAATTTAAACTACCAACAACTGTTTCCCACTTATATGGCAATGTCCCCCGCCGCTAAAGAAAAATGAAACATAACATATTTACTAGTTTTTATCTTTTGGTCACAAAGAAGATTACCTTTTGTGTTATGTAGAGTTTAGTCATGGTCACTTCTCAGAATCTTCTTCTAACTGTGAAGATATTTCAGGAATATAGTAGATTTGAATGTATAGATGCAGATACACATATCAAGTGTCAGTATCAGCGTGTACTAGGGCTGGGACGGGTCAAAATTTTCTATCCGGGTACCCCACCCCATATTACCCTACCCCGATACCCGTTATGTTAATTCCTGACATCAAATTTGTAAGAAATTTCAATATTTTATTCAGCTCGGAGGCTAAAATTGGGTGCAAAATTTTATGAGATATAAGTTTTGAAAAGTAGTCAAAATGTCGTGGTGATCTTGAAAATAAGGTCAAGCCACCCAAATCGACTGGTTTTCTGCGTAATCCCCAAATGTAGGCTGTCACCCAATTTGATGACATTGGGTACAACAGTTCATGAGATATCGCGTTAACAAGATGATGCTGAATACATAGTCCCCTGTTCGGCGTTGCGTTCCCAAATTATGAAGCATTTATCTATTTTCAAAGCATGTTGCAAACAAGTGTTTGCTAAAAGTCTATGTCCTTTATGTCCTTTAACATCAACAAAGGACACTTCATCTAATTCTCCCAATATATAAAATTGGAGATAACAATAATCGTGATAAATATAGAAACTCCACACTGATGAATGTCATGGCTATACTTCAGATAAATACGAGGGTCGGTCAAAAAGTAGTCGGCCTAACTATATTCTCAATGTCCAATGTTTGAAAAGCTTCCATTTTAGTTTGCAGGAATCATTAGCAAAGCCGTATAAAAATGTTCACACGTGTGGGAAATGTGATTAACGAGATATTAGTCATCACAACACATTGGGGTATAATATTTCTACAAAAAATGCAGAAAATGAAAAACGATCCGTCATTTAGTACCTCTTGGATAATGGTATGCCCTCAGATAATGTCATATAAAATATGTTAGTATAGTATTGGATGACTTCCCGTCATAATGAAGAGTCAAAGCTTTGGATTGCTTGATTCATATTCTGTAAGCCATTAAAAACGCAATTTGACATTCATACTTTCTTTTCTCAAACTAATTTCAACATATATAAACCTAACTGGCAGATATGTTTTAAGTGCACATCTGTGAATAATTTCATCTGAAAATGTCCGGTCAACAACAACATCAGTGACGCAACAACGACATCAAACAAAGGAGGGGTCACTTGCAGTCAAGATCGTGTGTGTCCACTGTGCGCTGCAAGACATGCTCGCAGTCTTTTGAGCATTGAAAGACACACATTTCTCAGGAACAGCTGTTGGATGGTCTGCAGCCTCTGATGGTCTGTGGTCTGATCATGACACCACCCCCTCCAAAACGATCATGTTCAAGGACACAGTTTGGCGCAAGTCTTTCTCCTTTACGTCGATAAATTCTGTTGACGTCCATCTGCAAAGGATAAGTTAAACCTGGATTCATCTGAAAAAATTACATCTGGCCATGTCCTGTTGCCAAGATTGGCCCCATTTGCTGCCCATCGCTGTCTGGCAAGTCTGTGGCGATGCAATAAGGTTGGACCACGGTACGGGTGACGACACCGGATGTTGAAGGCAGCAAGGCGTCCTTGCACCTTTTGGGCGCTGAAATGACGTTGACTTGTCCCAATTGTCCTCCTTGCCTAATCATCAGCTGTTTGGAACCGATTTCGCAAGTGTTAAACTCGGATATTGCGGTTATGTCGAGCTGTTATCACAGGTGGTGCACCAGGTCGCGGACGATCAGCAACACTTCCGGTAGCCCGAAAACGTTGTCTGAGTCGACTTACAGTGGATGGATGCACATTAAAGTGCCTGGCAATCATCACATCTGAAGGACCTTGGCTGACCATACCGATAACCTGATTCCTTTCGTCTTGTGTCAAGTGTGGCATTTTCTCAAAGTAATTGAGTTCCACAATTCCTTGTGCTTTCACAGGGCCTGGGTGCAGGTAATGCATGTGCACAACGTGTTTCATGAATGTGGTTGTGTTTACGAGAAATGTCAAAGGTTCAGTTTAAAGTATCAAAGTTCATGTGAGAGGAATGCTCCGGGACTCGAACTCGAAATGGGCAAGAATAACAGCCTTTTATCCCTACATCCTCTGTATCGCAGGAAAAAATCTTCAATAGAACTTTTGTAAGTTTCAGGACAACAAATACCAATTGCGTTTTTAATGGCTTACAGTATATTTAGTCGGGGGCTGATTCTTTTAAGGACGCCCCCATTTTAGTCTTTCAAAAACATTGTGTCCAGATATTCAAGCTGGCCCTGTTTACAATATACTGAGAGTTGACACTTGTGTGACCATTCAGTATTTACTTACCTTTATATAGCATCATGTGTGAAAAAGTGAAAACATTAGAATAAGTTATGTCCTTGTGTCCTTA